TCAAGGTCTACTTTTGTGGCTTTTTTTTTTTTTTTTTTTTTTGGAGGTTTTTGTTATAGGGTGCGTGCGCTCGCCAGACAGAGAGAGACAGAGACAGAAGGCGAGAAATCACCCCCCGGGGGGATGGCCACGCCACAATCCCTTCTCCTCCATTCTCCTCTCAGGATCTTGGGCACACACACACACGTGCTCGGCATGGGTTTTAAGCCACGGGGTCCAGGACACGAACAGTGGTCGACTACATGGGAGTCCAGAGATAAAGCTGTTAAACTAACTGCTGGTCCTTATTTTTACTTTTTTTATTAAATTTATTTGTTTACATTCATTTGCTGTACATCATTACAGCATGCAAAGTGAGATTTTCCACCCAGAGTACACTGTATATTGGCTCGATCAAGCACATCAACATACATGTTATCGTCAACAAATAATTTTCCATTTCTTGTTTCCTATATGTTTTGCTCTTTTTTTCCCCATTCTTGATTCCCTATCTCTTACCCTCTCCCATCTCCCACTCTCCTGCCACACTGTCTCTGGTATCTATGTTTGCTTTCTATACTTAATTCTAAGTCTTAAATCTCACAACATTTGCTTGATTCTCCTTCAAGAACTGGAAGCAAAATATCTCCAAAAAGAACTCATTTCCCCCAAACTACTCTAGCAGCCCCTCCTCGAATGCCTGCTTCTAGTATTGGCTCCATCAACTGGGCCCTGGCCCTGGAGCACTGGCTTTCCCTCTTCCCTGGGGACCATATCCAGTGCACAGGAGCCAACCCCACTACGCATCCTATTCCTCCCACCTCTCTCCATTTCTAGAGCCGCCAGCCTCATCCAACACGCTCCAACCTTTTCTCAAAGCCCCTCTAGCCTTCTGCTCTCTTTCCCCTAGTCAAAACATGCAGAGGTTTCCCACTAAAGGCAAGCATCAACCTAGCCTCGCTTCATTCTCTTCAATATTTGTTCCACTCAGCTAATCTGCAATGCCCGTCATGCTGCAAGCATTTCCCAAGTTTTCTCACTTCTCTTTGTATATATTATTACCTCCCATCTCAACTATCAGTTTCCACTCTGTCTGTAAGTGTCTCCCCTGTATTTCAAGCCCAGAGCCAGTGTCAGCTGACCCCTGACCTCATCCATAATCGCCTCACCCTGTTCTCACTCTCCTCTAAACACTCAAAGAAAGTTGTGCCAGCCTCTGACGCTGCCAGTAAACACCTGACTTGAGCTGAAACCCTGCAAGGCAGGCGTGCATGTTATACACCGTTCTGTCTTCCACTGTATCGTGTGTGATAACCTTGTATGAATTAAAAAATATTTGTTGAAGGATTAAATGACCATACAAACCAAAATTCCTACTCATGAAGCACCACTCCTGCCAATGAACTAACCTTTAGGAGAAGTAGCCAAAGTACAATAAAAACAGATAAACTTCGCAGACTTCCAGACATGACAACTTAAAAAGAATCAAGTCAATCTCCGAAGCCATCTATTATTCAACAGTACGACAACTCCAGAATGACAGCCAAACACCAAGAGGCTCACTGTAACTAACAAAAATACATTTGTCGTTGAACTACAAATGTTTGGGAGAAAGCAACGGACCAGCTCATTTAATACTAAGATGACAGGAGGAAGGCCGTCTATTAATAAACCCTCATAAAATTCCCTGCATCTTCCCATCATGCCAGGTTATAGCTTCCAGTGGTGATAAACTATCTACAATCACAAAGAAAACTTCCTAATCTAGAGGAAATTGAACAACAGAGCATTTGTTCCAAAACAGTCTGTTTTGTCTGGAAGATACTCTCACGGCTGGTCAGAAGGTCAAGAAGCTGGCAGATGAATTATGATGTGGAAGATAGACCAACGGCCTCAATTAGGGAGAAGTCAAGTCTTCATTCCTAGAACGACAGTCATTGCTTCTCTACGGGAAGGGGGAGGGGAATCTCTCAAGCACAGCATGCGTAAGAGACCCTGTCAAAATTGGAAAACACATTGAGATCGTCTAGAAAAAGAGCTGTACTATAACCTAAAGACCTTGATAACTTCCACAAGTGTTTTTGTTTTTTTGAAAAGGTTTTTGCTACAGGGCACATGCGCTCGCCAGACAGAGAGACATAGAGACAGAAAGCGAGAAATCACCCCCCAGGGGGGATGGTCACGCTGCAATCCCTTCTCCTCCATTCTCCTCTCGGGATCTTGGGCATGCACGCACATGCGCCCGGCGGGAGTTTAAGTCACCAGGTCTGGGATGCGAACCGTGGTTGACCACATGGGAACCCAGCAACATAGCCATTACGCTAACTGCTGGTCTCAAGTTTTAAGAACAAGTTTTAAGCCCAGATACAGAACAGACTCGTCACAGATTAAGAAGGTAAACTTTTTTCCTAGATAGCGCAGGCAGATAAGGGACCTTTTTCTCGATTGAGATGTAGTCAATCTTCGAGGTCAATATTTTAGAGAACAATGTATCGTGAGGATTGACATTCAATTTCCGAAATTGCTGCCAATTACAAGACTGGGCTCACTGCTGTGCTCCTCTCACTATGATTTTATGGGCTCTACTTCATAATTTCTGCCTTAATCTAGTAGAAGGATATAAATGAAGGCACACAGTGTCTGTGTAAAGTAGGAGACGTGGAGAAAGAGTAAATCACCTTATTTACTTTCTGATATAAGCATGCTTTATTTGTTCATTAAACAGCAAAAAATGAGCAGAGATTTTTCTGGACCTTTTTTTTTTTTTTTTTGCCAAACATATAATTATTTCTAAACTCCATTAACTCCTGATTAAACAAATATCTATAGAATAGAATTCCTATCATCCCTGGCTTCAGATTTCACTTGCCCAAGTGAACAGTAGCTATCACATCAAAAAGCTGAATTAAGAACTCTGCTAGAACCCTGGGGATGAGCTTCTCGGATTTGCTGTGATTCATTTCAGAAACACACACACACACACACACACACACACACACACACACACACAGAGCAAAGGGTATTACACAGACAACCAAAGAATCTGAATAAAGGGAAATAAATCACTGTTAGCTATATCACACTGAAGTACAAACAGTCTACAAAGACCTTTGCTTCCAATGACTACTGCTATTCACAATAAAACGTTAATTCAGGGGCCAGCAGGTGTTGCGGTGGTTAGGGCACTGGACTCCCACCCACATGGCTGACCATGGTTCGAGTCTCAGGCCTGGCAACTTACTTTCTTATTTCTCTCTCTCTCTCTCTCAAGCATGTGTGCAATATACAAAATAAAAATAATAATAATTTGGTTAAATTACTAACTTTTAACAATTTTTAATTCAGCTAATTTTAACCTCTAATTTGGACTCAAAAAATACTATTCTCTCTGTCAGTAATATAGCCACTAGCAAAAATTAACGCTAAAACAGAGGTTTTGCTGAGTTACATCTTCAAATATTTTTAAAAACATTTCATTCACAGTGTGATTAGAAAAAGCAGAAAACACATCCAAGTGGGACTCATGACAACAGGGAACGACCCTCAAATAAATGAATACTATTTCAGCGTTAGTGGTCAGAGCTTATTATTCTGTTCACGAGCAAAGAACATCCTGTAAGGGTATCTATTAGTGTTTCTATTAGGATTAATACCGGAACTACTATTACTGATTACCTGGATGAATAAACAGTATTGATTAAACCTGAAGACCAGAACGAGCAGTTGTATTATTGTATTGAGAAGCAGCAGACACAAGAAAAATCCAGAACACCGTGTGGAATACAGCCAAAGAAATGGGGATAATGGAAACAGCTTACTTTGACGTGGCTCTGAGCCCCAAGGTTGTAGATCTCGGTGGGCTTCACGTCATTAATGATCTTCACCAGGCAGGTACTGTCGGTGAGGTCACCGTAGTGCAGTTTCATGTCTTTACAATTCAAAACATACCGTTAGAGAGAAGAAAAACAACATACGTCGATTTTTTAAAAATATCAAAGCTGAAAGGCATACTTTCAAGGTCTGAAAACCAAGGTCAAAACAGAAATACTGTATTCGACAGTTCTGAAGTACCAGAGGATTACTGCCGTCTTTAAAGAACCTAAATAGAGGTCAGGAGAGGGGTGGCGGTTAAAACGCTGGATTCCGATGTGGCTGACCATGGTTCGAGTCCTGGACACCGTGGTTTGAAATTCACTCTACGCACATGTACATGCATGCCTAAAATCCCAGAAGAGAATGGTGGAGAACAGACTGTGGCATGGCCATTCCCCCTAGGGAGTGATTTCTCATTTCTCTTCTCTTTCTCTCTCCAGCAAGAGTGCACACCCTATGATAAAAGAAAGAAGAAAAAAAAAAAGAGAGAAGAAAGAAAACAGAAAGAAAGTAAAAAGAACCTAAATAAAGATATTTACATATGTTACCAACATCTAACATCTATAGAGGATTTATAGCAGAAAACTCAAAAATAACTTTTAAAAATCGTTTCAAAACAAATGTTCCACAATTAACATACCGTAGGGCTCCAGGTGCTTATAAGAAGCATTATTTAAGAAAGAGACTCAGAGGACCAGCAGTTAGCGTAATGGCTATGTCGCTGGACTCCTATGCAGTCAACTGCTGTTCAAGTCCAGGACCCAGTGGCTTAAACTCACGCCAGGTGTGTGTGTGTGCGTGCCCAAGATCGAGAATGGAGGAGAAGGGATTGTGGCGTGACCATTCCCCCTGGAAGGTGATTTTTCACTTTCTATCTCTCTCTATCTCTTTCTGACAAGCGCATGCGTCCTATAGCAAAAACCTCTCCAAAAAAAGAGAGACTCATAAAATTTTGTAGCAACGTGCATAAAGACCTCTAAAAAAATCTGTAACACACTGATTACAGTGAGAGTAGCTTGGTATTTGTTCGGCTATTTTTAAGCAGCGATTTTTAAGCGCCTTTTAAGCACCAACCTGACATAACTGATTAAAGGACAACTCGCTGATCTGAAGCCCTAAATATAAGTGCATCCTTACACTGACTTCATTAGTTTGAGAATCTCATCTGCGCTGGCCAGCCACGGTGGTGGTGCAGCAGTTAATGCGACACTTGGCAAGGTTGAAGTCACGTGAAAAGGTCTCCATCATAAGGCCTCCTGCACACACTGGGCACACCCACATACCTGGGACCCTGGCAAGCTTGCGACTAGGAGTGGTTTGCATGTAGAGACCCTCTTTGGGGTGCCCTCCCAACTCTACCCCTTTTCTTCTCCTGGAAGGAATAAACTTACCAAACAAAGAATCTGACACATGTAGATGTATAATTTGCTGACTTGATCTCTTCATTATTTTCACCTAGCACTGCCATAGATATGGATCCAATAACAACACAGTTTTGCACTGTGCACACAAAATGACACTACTTGTCAAGGAAGGTGTGCTTAATCACTTCAATATTCAATTTACTGTGGACAACTAAATCCCCTTCCTGATGCCGCTACTTGTGTAAATAAGGAACCCAAACCTTCAAATATTCAGGGGCTCAGAGGTGAATGCAAAAAATCACTCCTGGTTGGTAAGTTTACTGCATTGGCCTGGCTGGATGGAAAAACTGGAGCCAAACACCCTGTGTTCGAGTCCTAGCTCTGCCTTTACCGTGATACATGACCTTAATAAATCACGACCTCTCTCTGCCTCCATTTCTACACCAGAACTGCTGTAAGGAGCCAAGCAGGGAACACGGTGGCTGTGCTCTTACAGGGTAGCTCCACACGGGCACAGGGGTACAGGGGCACAGTTACGAACAAGAGCAACAGACCACTGAAAACACTGCGCAGAGGCAAGTTAAATACACGGAGAGATTCAATTGCCATCTGTGTTTGACTCTGTCTTGAAAATTCCCTACCTGTACACAACACTGTACAGACCGGACTAATTAGACCAAATGTAAGATGTAAAGGAGTGCCCTGTCAATATGGAACTGCTCTTACTTGAGGGAATAGGGGGCCCCAAAGAAGGTGATCACAGCACCTCTTCCCTGGGTCACTCTGAGCCACCCAACCACCAGCCTTCCGACAGCCGAACCAAGACAACGCTATGGCCTCGGGCAGGGAACCGCGATGGTTCTCAAAGCATGCGGATGGTATTCCAAGCAGCAATTCGTGGGTGAATAATTGTGACTTGAAGGACCTTGAGAAAAATGACATTTCAAAACCTCTCCTTTGAAGATAAGACGTTGCAGAAAGATATTTTAGAAGAAGACAATGACTTACTTCCTTCAGTATGAGCCTGGGGGTTCTTATAGAGATGTTCGATTCGACCAGTATTGAACGAACTGGATCTTCGTACAATCCCGTGGACCTGAGTTTTCAGCGTGAAAGAGAAAGGTCAATTACACGTGTGGCTGAGCTGAAGTAAGCAACTCAGAAGTGTTTCCACGAACATTCAGCTTTATGAAAAACAGTAACTACTGATAAACATTATTTTTGAACTATTAAAATAGGTTCATTGCTTACTTTCTCCTCAGCCACGGCCCAGCAGCTACCAGCATTCTACCTCTGCTTTTCTCGAGCGTTCTGATTGCCAATCTCAACAAAAGTAATTAGATAATCACGTAACTTCATGCTTAGTTGTAGATGCTCAAATGGCTCTTTTTGTGAAACACGCGCACACACACACATTTACTGGTGACAAAAATCTCTCTTCCATTTGAAACCGAAGACAGACCACGTGAGGCTGTATGGGTTAGGATGGCTTTGTGGCCTGTTTAACAGAGCACAAGGCCTTCACATCTATCCAGCACACTCTGCATTATATGTATTTTTGGAGGCACAGATATAATCAGAGAGCAGTTGCTATTATGCAGTTGTTTCTATGCAGTTATGTGGAGAAGTCAGCAAGCTAAATAGCATAGATTAAAGAGAAGATTTATGAACTACTTAACATAAGACATGAAGAGAATTCAAATGAAGAAAGGACGTGCCTACAGGTTTTTTATCCCGACTGAGCAGTGATAAGCAGAAGGGGGAAAGAGGTGTTGGGACAGAAATGCATACCTGTCTGATATCACAGAACAGACGATTTGTGTCTGACACCTAAGAGAAATTGTTCCAGACCTGGTCCTACTTCCTTCTGGTGTCAAGAGTGGCCCCTTTGTGCTGCCAATGCTAACACCAGCTTGTGTCACCCAGCTGCCCAAGTCGGTTCTGCTGGTGGCACTTTTAATCCCTGACTTATTTTAGAAGTGTTCTTTCTAATGTGGAGTGGGTTCATTTGCAGCTGAATACACTTCTATATTTTAACTCAATCGTTTTCTGTCCGTTTCAAACCAAAATTAATCCTTAGCATGACTCAAATATTCCGAAAGTGAAGGGGAAATTATAAGCACATAAGACTTTCTTTTAAATAGAAAGAAATACCATCATCATTTTGTATGACATACATGAGAAATGAACTTCTGGAAAAGACACAACACACCCACAATTAATAATTCTGTTGGTTAGTTGCTAAGTCAAAGAGAAAAGCACTCATCGACACCATTCTCCAAAAGAACTAAACTTAAGAAAAGGTGGTCAACATGGAAAGATTTTAAAAAGATGGGACCAGCAGTTAGCGTATTGGCTATGTTGCTGGACTCCCACGTAGTTGACCACGGTTTGAGTCCCGGACCCGGTGGCTTAAACTCACGCCGGGCGTGTGTGCGTGCGTGCCCAAGATCCCGAGAGGAGAATGGAGGAGAAGGGATTGCAGCGTGGCCATCCTCCCCGGGGGGGTGATTTCTTGCTTTCTGTCTCTCTGTCTCTCTCTGTCTGGCAAGCGCACGCACCCTATAGCAAAAACCTTCTCCAAAAAAAAAAAAAAGAAATATTTTATAAAGAGAACATCTCAAATTTGGATGTCATTTTAGGAGGCAAATATTAAAAATCTAGGAAGTATTGAGATTTGGCTATAAATATCCATTTCTTAATTTAGAAGTGAAAAAAATAATACTAACATTAGACTTAAAATTTATTCCACTAAATTTTCAAGTTGTTACTTAATTGCAAAGTTGAACTGCACTACAAACTTAATAACTTTCTTTAAATAAGAAGGAATCTCACATACATACTTACCCAGAGCAAAACTGGTATTTACCATCAAATATATTTCTAAAATTTAGATTTCTCAGGGTTTTTTTTAATCATTTATTTAATTTTATGTATTCATTCATTTATTTTTAGTTTGACCAGAGAGAAACAGAGAAAGAAAGAGGGAAAGTGAGAAAGCAAGCTGCCAGGTCTGAGATTTGAACCATGGTCAGCCATGTGGGAGTGTCTAGCACCTTAACCACCACGCTACCTGCTGGTCCCCTCAGGTGTGTTTTGATTCATCTGATAGAGAGGAATTTCTATGATCTGAAAACAGGTAATTTAACAAACTTAACACTGATGATTTTTTAAAAAATCATCATTATTGGGACCAGCAGTTAGTGTAATGGCTATGTCGCTGGACTCCCACGTAGTCGACCGCAGTTCGAGCCCCAGACCCGGTGGCTTAAAACTCATGCTGGGCGTGTGTGCGTGCATGCCCAAGATCCCAAGAGGATAATGGAGGAGAAGGGATTGCGCCGTGGCCATTCCCCCGGGGGGTGATTTCTCACTTTCTGTCTCTCTGTCTCTGTCTGTCCGGCGAGCACACGCACCCTCTAGCAGAAACCTCTCCCAAAAAAAAAAAAAAATCATTATTTGGGTTCTCTTTTCTTAATTGCTGAATTCTGGAGAAGACATGTATTCTTAACATCCCAAAATACAGAGAAATGCCATATACATATGCATTACATATAAACATAAGATGTCTTAACAAAAATATTAAATTACCTTACCAGATTCAGTGTGAAAACAACTTATACAAAGTCACAGCAAATCAGTAACAAAGGACCTGACTATCATACTTAAACCAAAACCTTAAACACTAGTTTTCATTTTTTTTATTTAAAAAAAAAGAAAAGTTTTAATTTCCCCTCGCTCCCAACCTTCGGTATGTGTACACAGGGAAAGAAAGACCTGCCAAATGCTTAATCCTTGACAGCAGGTATTATTCTAAGAACTAATGAAAGCTGAGTCTGTCTGCTTTTAAGGCAGGTGAAATACAAACTTCAAGACAAGCCAAAATGTGTGCAAATTGTATGATCTAGTTAAGAATTTGAGATTAGCAGCTTTCTCTTTACAGAGGGGAGGGAGGTAGGGCTTTTTGGTTTGTTGTTGCAAGGATTTTAGGAGAAAAAGAGATGAGGGGTCAGGAAACCAAACTGAAATGATACATGAGCTGAATCTGACTTTATATAAACGTATTCAAAATCGTTATTAAATTATACTAGTTCAAAAACAAAATATAATTCTGCAAAACTAAGATCTTAAAATAAACAGAAGTGGATGTTTTGACAAACAAATTTCATGTCCCATTTAACTAGGTGATGACAAGGAAAATTTCCAGTTCTCTTAACGTCAGAGCAAAGTTGGTTTGACTTCAAAAGCTAAAACCAGGGAACCAGCAGTTAGCGTAATGGCTATGTCGCTGGACTCCCACGTAGTTGATCGCGGTTCATGTCCTGGATCCGGTGGCTTAAAACTCACGCCGGGCGCGTGTGCGTGCGTGCCCAAGATCCCGAGAGGAGAATGGAGGAGAAGGGACTGCGGTGTGACAATCTCCCCTGGGGGGTGATTTCTCGCTTTCCAGCTCTATGTCTCTATCTGTCTGTCTGGTGAGTGCAAGCACCCTATAGCAAAAACCTCTCCAAAAAAAAGAAAAAAAAACCCTAAAACCATAGCAATAAAGAAATGTTTACTTATTTGTTACGATCAAGAAGATAGGTGGCTATCTTTACATTTCCAACTCTTTAGCGTCTGAATTTCTCTTAGAGGCAAACAGGCCTCCCTTTGAGGGTTAACGTCACCCATCTTTGGAAAAGTATTGCTGTGTATTAGCTAGTAATTATCACTAGCTGATGATCATGCATTAGACACCATTCATTGGTTCATTCAGGCATGGGGGGGGGGGGCGTGCACTCACACAAGGGTT